CACCGTGTTAGAGGTTATCTCTCGCCGCCCCAGGCGGGGGGACACGGGGAGAGCGAGGCGGGGGCCGAGGTCGAGCTAGGCCTCGGCGCCGAGCCCAGCCCGATAGCCATATCGCGACAGCCCCGACACGCTGAGGTAAATCCCGGCAGCTGCGGGCCCTGTGTCAGCGTGAGCAGGGGCTTGGCGCTTGTGCGGGCTGAGGAGCACCGCTATCCACAGGCAGATCGCTTTCTTGGGGCCGAGTGGCGCCCCTCGAAAATTGAACTCTTTGCTTCAAATTATGAACCGCCGGGATTCAGAAAAAAAAAAGTTCTTCTTCATTAGAGTGGTCAAAATGGTTAATTCCCACTTCTTTCAGAGAGGTCCAAGGTTTTCCCCAAAATGTAAATTTCAGCCCTAGGTGGACAAAGTTGGTTTTGAGAACTTTGGCTTGAGCAGTTCGCGTTTGCCAAAGTCCTAAAACCAAGTTTGTGTAACGAGGTGCACTGGTAACGTTAACGACAGCTGCTGCGTGCTTTTAGTACAGTTTTGGCTTTAAAAAAAATCAAACCGTTTTTTTAGGAAACGGGCCGTGTTCTACCCCAAGTAAGCGTGCACAGCATCACTCACAATCATTTCTAAAATCGGTAGCGGCCTGGATAAGTCGTCACGCTTTTGTTGTGTAAAACACTTAACCGGCGCGTGGTCTATCGCCGTTGCCTACAAAACCGTCCAGGAAAAGTCGGCGGGATTTGGTTAAAGGGCTGTCTGAGAGCAGGACTGGCGGCGGAGGCGTGCGTACGTGCAGACGGACTCCAGCCCGCGCAGTGGGCAGCTGCTGCGCTCCCGAGAGTCGGGTTGGGTACGTGAGCAGCTCGGAGAGGCTTCGCGCTCACAATCCGTGCTCATCCCAAGTGCAAATACCTTCTTGCCTGGGAGTTGCCCTCCTACATTAAAGAACTTAAACAACTGGAAACGAGTGGGGGTACATTTTGTTTTTCTTCTGGACCATACGAGCTTTCCAAGAGGCAGAAATCGGGTGCCGACCTGCACGCGGTGGAAAGTCACTACGCCAGGTCTCACTAACGCCAGTGCCCCCCTTAGCAGAATGCTGTTCTTGCTGCTGCGAGTTCGTGTGCTTCACGTAAACGCTTTAAAATTGTTACTGTGCTTTTTTTTGGCCTGTGCCAGAATGCTCACTTTCAATTTAAAACCCCCCCAGCAGCCATGCAGACTTCATCAATCCTAGCAGTGAGGCGATCTCAGGGTGTTGGGCTTAGCAGCCTGCTGTTATACCTGAAATTATATCTTCAACTGGCGTAATAACTACTGCTTAACTGCAGTATCCCTTTCACAGGTGTGTTGTGGGGTTTAAATGTTTAACCCGTGCGAAATGTCCCCTGTTGCTCAGGGGGAGGCAGCATGTTCTAAATAATAGTGGCTCTCAAACCCCTCCTTGGAACAAGACGCAGGAATGTGGTCACTGCCCTCTTGTGGAAAATGATTTAAAAAAGCAAAGTTGGGGAACTGCCACTGGGGAATTCACTAGGGGTTCCCTGGAGGGTAAAACCGCACTAACTCTAACTATACCACCGGCACCACGGCAGCGTAGCTGCCCAGCATGGATGAGGCTATGCCGGTATCGCTTAGTGTTTGGTTATACAGAAGAAGTTCTGTATCTGGACACTTCTTGCGGAATAATAACGCTCCTGCCCATGCAGTTGTGGTATTTCAAATTAACATCCTACTTCACGGTCTAAAATAACCATAAAATGGAGACATCTCCTTACTGCTGTGCAAGGAAGGAAGCGCATCATCTTGACACAAGGCGTTACTTTAGCATCAGGGTTTATACCAGGGGATAAATACAGGCACATCTTTAACCATTAGTGACTGCAGAACAAGACGTGTAATGAAACCTTTAACTCCCCTCCTGCAAAAAGAAATAAAGCATTCATCAAAACGCATTTTGGCTAAGCGAAGGGACGAGTCTGTTAGGAGCCTGTAGTCCCTTTACGGAAAGCGGAGAGGAGATGAAGCATGTCCAGGAAGCATTTCAGATCATAGATGGTATGAATCACCTTCTAAAATTGCTTGCCTATTTCCACTGCGTTCCCAGACTGGATACCCTAACTAGGTGCCTAAAGTTAGTGGGGATTAATTTGGGCCCAACTGCATGAAACTATTAGGTGATGGGGACATTAACCTGCAGAAGCCCAGGGACGAAGGTGGTGAGGTGAGTACGTCCCACTGATTTGGTGATGATGAGATGTCTCTCAGAAGATGGATGAAATGGCCTTTCACAGACAGTTTTGCTCTCTGTGAAACAGAGATCGTGACTTTTCAATTCCTCGTGTGTCTGGAAGAGGCTAAGAATATTAATGAGTTACTTAAGAGGTACTTGAGTAGGTCAGTGCCATCATGTTGCAGGGGAATTTTATCTGTGTTTTTGCAGGGAAAAAAAAAAGAAAAAAGTACAATGTATTGGTTAGCTTACAGAAAATATTTGGTATGATTTCTGTGGGTGATCAGAACGTATTAAGGTTTTACATAGAATGACTTTGCTTTTGAAGGGAACCGGTTTGGAAGGATGTTATTTAGAGGAACCGGGGAGTCCTGTGTTCTACATGAACACTTTCTCACAATTTAAAAACAGCCGGTACATTCTGGTTCCCTCGCATGTTTCCCTTGTCCCTGCATAGTTAGAGGGGATGAAGTGTCATCTGCTGTGAAAGGACAGGATAAACAAGTTCTAGGTAATGCCTGTGTACTTCGTTATGTTTTGAAAGAGATGGGCTCCTCCGTGAAAGTGACTTTTCACAACAGGGATTTCCCCCAAATTACTTTAGAATTCATGTATTTGAAAAAAGTTATTTTTGGAACCTGAACTGCACGATCTGAGAAAATAGTAAGTCTTCCAGTGAACTGAAAAAAAAAATTCTACATGCTTGACCTCTCTAGTAACATCAGCTGTCTGAATGTTTCTGCAGCACTTCTGGTAAATACTTAGACTTACTTTCTTCTCTTTATTTTTTCCTTCTCAACGGAAAGGAAGAACTTCATCAGTTGTATCCTTTTTGTACCTTTCACCCCTCACATGCGGGAATCTTCAGGAAGACTGGCTGAAATGCATTCACATCTTCCTGCCTGATCTGCACAATGCCATTTTTGTGTTATTCTTTGAGTTTTCCATCATCAGCACCATCCATAGGAAGCAAAACCGGTAAAACATTTATTCCAAGGGAAGATTTTTTCGCAGCAGTAGCTGGGGTTTTGCTGAGATTTTCCCCTGATCGGCTCCCACTCACGCAGAAACCCCTTTAACCCACCCTGCAGTCTTGACAGAGGGCTGGCAGCCACGTTTTATGATCACATAACTCTCATTTCCTTAGGAAGCAAGGCTAAAAATTGGATTTGTGGACTGATGGACACAAACCCCATGCAGCACACCTCACAGACAGCTGACACAGCCAACAAGAGGTAGTAAAAGCAGCTTTCAGTAGTAAATTCACACTACCTTTACTCCCGCCAAGATCTAAGTAGCCTCCTAAGAGGAGACACCCTTGGCTTCAGAGATTTCCATGCTTAGAACCTATCTAGTAGTTTTTTTGCTCCACCTTCCTTCAACTGGAAAAACACAGAAACCTGGTTCTGTTTTAATACAGTGAGCTTCTCTGGGAACTGGAGCACTTCCACCGCGTGTGGGCGGGTGCTCCGTTCAGAAACTGGATGGGCAGTTCCCTGCTGAAGATGCCTGGGATGAAGTCCCTGCTTGGAGATAGATACTCAGAGGATTTGAGAAGGGCTGGGGGACAGAGGGGAGGATAAAGAATATTTTGAGTATAGAGAGATGTGGAAATAATGAAATCCGCACTGATAACTTCCTTATATAAATTACATTGCATTATTTCAGGCTAAGAAAGGCATTTGGTATAGTTTGGTTATCAAAAATACATATGAATGGCCAAACTTTCTGGATTCTTGGAGCCACATTCCAACTTCTCCCTGTGGTGGTGAGCCCCAGGACGTCCTACACGCATCTCCAATACTGCATTAATAACGTGCTGCTGTGCCTCAAGAGAAAATGATTCCTTCAGTATGTATGTACCTGCTATACAGGACTCGTACCTATCCGTGGGGGTGGGTCTTGATGATGTCTTGAAGACGTCTGGCTGTTAGGTACTTCCTGTAATCTGGGCATTTCAGCTCCTGTTGTAGTCAGAGAGGGAGCTGGCGCGGTTTAACACCGGACGGTAGTTCATCCCACCCTGCTCAGGAACTGCTTGCCTAGGAAGGTTCCTATCTCCGCTGACTCCAGGGGGAGCACAGACAACTAATTCACACTCGCATAACTTCAGGACGGCTGTCATCTTGGGGTGGCCCCAGGGGAGCTGATGGCTCAGGCGAGCTGAATCTGTCCTGAGCCTGCAAGTAATTTCTGCCTATTTGTGTGACAGCGTGCGCCATATTCCCTGTCCTTCAGGGGCATTTTGAGGATGTATTAAGGATTGTGGAGCTCTCGAATGCCTTGGCAGTGGATCCACATAGGCAGACGAATAACTAGAGCTAAATATTACCTCATAGCATACAACAGTTAGTTTTGTGAGCAGTGAATCAAGGAAGTCTGTTTCTTATGAATTTACATCTCAGAGTTGAGCTCGTGGCCTTTCTCAGGCACGTTACAAAGACAGAGCACGGCTTTCAGACTTTCCATCATGTGGGCAGTAAGAGGGCCTGTCTGCTTCACAGAGCCACCTATTTTCAAAAACGTACAGGAATTTGATGTATTGGAGTCTGCCAACCCTCTGTCAACTTGCTTAAGGCTGACTAACAGGTATAGAAGTTGTTTGGGGAAATGTACACATGTACACACCCCCCTCATTTCCTTAGGCTAACGAATACCCCACTACATACCAAATAAATGTTTTAAAAAAAGGAACTAAAGCCACACCTGAAACAGCAAGCTTGCATCCTAACTCTTGGTATTTGCAATCTCAAGTTACTTTCTGAACCCTACCCAGTAGGCCAGTCATAGTTGAACCATTTAGTATAAAAAGGCACAGCAGTATATTTTGAGGTTACTGGGAAATGGCAATACTATGAAATGGATCCCACCTCATTGCTATGAGAAATCCTTAACAACAGTTATCAGCTGTCATCTGTTCCTTTACAGATTCTATTTTACGTAAATGGGATTTATTACATCTTTTACTTCTTGGCGACTCTTGCAATGATTGTTTATAAAAGTAAGTTGCATGTGTTCTGACACAGAAGTAGGCTGTGTGCTTATGACATGGCTGTGGTTTGTCGGTATGCCTACTGTATTTTCCTGTCCCCTTGTGCTGGTTTTGGCTGGGATAGAGTTAATTGTCTTCCCAGTAGCTAGTGCGGGGCTGTGTTTGGGATTTGTGCTGGAAACAGCGTTTTAGTTACTGCTGACACAGAGTCAAGGCCTTTTCTGCCTCTCACCCCACCCCACCAGCGAGCGGGCTGGGGGTGCACGAGAAGTTGGGAGGGGACACAGCCGGGACAGCTGACCCCAACTGACCCAAGGGATATCCCACACCATATGGTGTCATGCTCAGCGTATAAAGCTGGGGGGAGAAGGAAGGGGGGGACATTTGGGATGATGGCGTTCGTCTTCCCAAGTCACCGTTAGGCGTGATGGAGCCCTGCTTCCCTGGAGATGGCTGAAGACCTGCCTGCCGATGGGAAGCAGTGAATGAATTCCTTGTTTTGCTTTGCTTGCGCACGTGGCTTTTGCTTTACCTGTTAAACTGTCTTTATCTCAGCCCATGAGTTTTCTCACTTTTACCCTTCCGATTCTCTCCCCCATCCCACCGGGGGGGAGTGAGCGAGCGGCTGGGGGGGGCTTAGCTGCTGGCTGGGGTTAAGCCATGACACTTATTTACACTGTGTTATTCTACAGGTCAAGTTTTCAGTTATCCAGATGATTTCTTGGCTCCTGATCTTGCCTTGCTTTTCATTATGGCCATTCTTGAAGTGCTCCGATTATACTTGGGTATGTCATGTTATCACTGTGCCTTTTCAACGGAATATAGTCTTTAAACATTAATCATTCTGAAATTGAGTGTGTGTCAAAACGTGCTAGTTTAGGAGACTAGCAGATTTTTGGAGACTGTTGTTCATTTATGTCATTAAACTTTATCTGACTGATCAATATTTTTGGCCAGAGGGTCAAAAGAATTTGCTCTCATATGAAATATAATCTATAATGCCATCAAAAACCAATAGCTGGGTTGTCAGAAAGCAACGTAACTGGGACAGCTAGAATGCTGTTACGCTGTTTATAATTGAGCATGACTTGTGAGAATGAACGTGCTGAAACACAGAGATTTCCATTCTCTGAGGCGATACAGCTCCTTTCAACTGCTCCAGCAGTGTACGCAAGTAACCAAATGGCCGGAGCCCTGTGGAACAGGTAATGCTAAGGACGTCCCTGAGCAGCATACGGCCGCCACTGCGACTACACCTTTTCCTTTCACTCCTGAAGACACGTACCAGTTCCAACATCTTCATTTCACTAAGCCAGAACAGCGTAGAGGGCCTCCTGACCCCTGTCCAGAGCTTGCTAAAACTTCATAAAGTCCTTTTTTGAAAAAAACAAGTTACTGTTAAAATCTGTGCTCGATACTCCCAAGACATTTATGCAAGGTGGGTGTCTGTTGAATTCAGCTGACTTGCTGTAGGGGTGAATTTAGCCTGCTGCCTTAAAGCTCTCTGCATATGTTTGCTTGGAGCCTGGCGGATGAATAAAGAAGTGCGTTTCAAGTCTAATGTAGTTAAACAGCAAAATCTACTGAGACTAGCTTGGAAATAAGATGCAAGGAAGAGATAAGTGCAGCTTCTCCACAATGATAGTAATTTGAAATAGGAATAGCTTAGCAGGGAATATAGAAGATTCTATATTGCATAAGATTTTAAAATCAGCATTGGATGCCCTTAGGTGTGCATCGCAGTCACCGAGTTGTCATGCAAAGTGCGGGGCTGGGGGGGACTCGGGGAAAGTTTGATGGTTGATTAAGAAGAGGGTCAGGCTGAGTGATCAAAATGGTTGCAGCTTCGGAACTGATTATCCGTGGTAAGAAAAGGTCGGCGTTGTGACTTTGAGTATCAACTGATTGCTCTTTATTTAGATTCGCTCCAGTCAGCAAGAAATGGATTGTCCATTGGTGTTTGGGTTTGTTCTTACGTTTACTGACAGAACCTTGATTCAGGCCAGTATTTCAATGTACTCTGAGCTGTGAGAACTAGAGCCTTTTTTGAACAGGAATACTTGTGGCTTGTGATATTGTCAGAAGAAATCAAAGACTCATGTCAGCTTTTTGTTTCCTTCGAGGTTCAAAGGGTAACCTGACAGAAGAAGAGGCTCCATTAGGGCTCAGCCTTGTGATCACGGTCGGAAGTGTGATTCTGTCTGTGTATTTCCTGGTGTGGCAAACTTACGTGCTGAAAGCAGACGTCATTATAAACGCTGTTCTTCTCTTTACATACGGGCTTGAGTCAGTACTAAAGGTCATAGCCATTGCTGCTTTTGTCAGCTAAACCCTAGCAGTTTTCAACACATTTTCAACACATTTCTTCTATAAAAGAGTGGGTTTATATTTCAAATATTTAATTCTTTTGCATATAAAAATCCTGTAAAACTTTCCTCTGTTCGAAGTACAAATTTTTGAGGGGCAGAGATCTCCCTGAATGGTAGATAAAATACCCTGTCTAGCAGCTGTGTTACACCATCTCATCAGTTAGCTTATTTATGGGCAAAGGCAAGAGGTGATTTAGCAAAACCACCTAATGCTCTGGTATTTATCAGGGATTGATGCTAAATATTCATTCCCAACACAGAATAGCAGCCAGTGCATCATCTAGCTACATGCCGTTGAGATTACCTGAGTTTTTATGGCATAGCAGCAACGTACAACCAAAGTGACACAGAAATGAATCAGGCCAATGTAGTATGGACTCATTTCTGCCTTACCGCGTACACTTTCATGTTTGAGGGCACAGTTTCTCTTCTGCTCTCATTTGTGTTTTCAGACCCCAGTGGTAATTTCCCTGACTTTAGTAGGGCAGTACCTGATTTATCCCACTGGGAGAGAGCTGAACGGAGTTTTGCGCATACCCGGAGAGCCGAGCTACAGCGTTTGGGCAGCTGGTTCTTACCGACGCAGAGGCCAAAGCCGGTAGTGTGAGGGTATGTGTGTTTAAATAGGATGGCCTTAAGATGAGCATAAACATTCACCATTCACTCACCCTTCTGTCCTATTTAAAAGTCCAACAGAATGTTGTCAGGTGTATTTCTATTTGGTGTTAAATGTGTGTATGTCCACGATTCTGCAAAAATTACTACATTCAAGCCTTGTCTTTTAAATGAAGAACTGTGTGCAATTTCAGATTTTTTCACTGTATCAAAAGTATGTATGCATTAATGTAAAGCTTGGGGAGTTTGTGGGGGTTTTGTACAAGCAGGTTTTATATTCAGAATTTTAGATCTAAGAAGTGTTTGAAGTGCAGAGCATCTTGTTCAGATCCTAGGCTACAGCTACGCTACACAATGGAAGACTTGGGCGAGACTGGATGTGTGCAAAAGGCTCTTCTGATCCTCCTGCTGCTGCTCTATGTAGGCCATTCTCCGGCACTGGAAAAGAGCGCCTGAGGTCTGCGCTAACTTGCACTAGCCAGGGGCTGGAAATACAGTGGTGCAGGCCCTGTATCGCCTCAGCCACGCTGCTGTTTTCTGTCCAGCAGTGGTAGAAGGGAACAAAAGATGCAGAAGTTCCCGTGGAAGGGCCCGGTTTCATCCCTCGGTCATACCCAGGGGTGTGACCCTTCCAAGGCCAGGTAACACCAGCTTCTGTCCACGTTACACCGCCCAGCGGTCAAAATCAAAACATGCACATTGGCAGGAATCCCCTTGGGCCAGCTCCTGTTAAGTCAGTGGCACAACCAGCCCTTTGTTGATCAGCCCGAGCAAGGCTGCACCCCTGAAGACAATGTGAAGCAGCAGAACTGGGTGCTAAGGAACAGCCAGGAAATTGAATGACCAAATGTTTCTGTGCTTAACCTGCGTGAATCAAACACCCGCCCATTTGTCCCTCCAGATGTGCTTGGCATAATGGAATGTATTCATCACATATTTGTTACGAGGAGTGACAAACATACCGAGCTGTATCTACCCATTAATGACGAATGCATACCGAGCAAAACCCCCTTCCGTATGCGTACAAATAAAAGCACCATTTTTTCCTGGTATTTACACCTGCCTGACACAAAGGTCTGGCCATAGAACATCTGACAGGTTTTAAAGAAAATATTGCAAAGTGGAAATTTTTTTTACCTGAATGTAGGTGGTACGGCAGATGGGGTCACACACGTTAACTTCAAGTCGCAGCCTCTGCGCTTTACCTTCCTTCCTTCTTGTGGTGCTCACTACAAACAAAATAAATACAAAATATTAGCACAACTGGAGGTAGCAGAGAGCCAGGGTGTAGATTCAGGAGACACCAACAAAGCTAGCGGAAGGTGTTCCTACCCCGAGGTGTTTGACCGCACCACAGATCACCACCGCCTCAGCTACAGCCCTACAACCATTTGTGATGCTGCACCATAAAACTGGATCCCTGGCCTGATCCACGCAGAAAATAAACTGCCCTCAAACGTGGTTCTGATGGAGGTGTTAATTAGGTGACAGCTGCCATGTTTCTGCCTATCCCCACAGCATGGTACGAGTTTGGGACAGTCTGCTGGGCCACGCAGAGTAAAGCAGCCTCCTCCTCAAGCTTTATAAAATAGTGTTTTTTATATATATATGTTCTAAGACGTGGTGAATCCTTTGCTCTCTAACCATCACCTAGATGAAAAACAAGAATCAGCAGAGAGTGACAACGCTTGCTGATAGTCAGCAATGGGGTAAATATACACATATGATAATAAACATAAATTTTTGAGCTCATTTCAGAGCACCACCTGATGGCTTGCAGACTGGTCACAGAGTCCCGGATGGCTGTCAGTG